CGGCTGGTAAAGGGATTTGGGGGATTCTTATTCTGAACTGAGGCTGTTTTTAGCTTGTAAAAAAAATCCCAAATAGCCATTTTTATCCAGAGCTAGAGAGTTGAAGGCATGGACAGAAAACTGACTCGTATCATTTTGTTTCAGTAGAAGATAATGACCCATTAAAGAAGAACCGTAGACTGATGAGTGCCTGTTCTAGCCAGAACAAAGGCACACAGGTGTGGGAGCAGAAAGCAGCACGCGGGGATCTGTGATGAGAGCAGCTGTGACCCGAGCATCCACAGAGCTAATCTGCGAGCTGCCGGGACCACCGTTTGCCCTCCGCCGAGCGGAAGCCTTCAGATAATCTCGGAGCTGTTCCGGTACTGAGCCGAGAGGCCGGGCGAAATCGCCTCGCAATATTCGCGCTCTGCCAAGTAATTACAGACTTTGGGTTCATCTTCCACGACCTCCTGTCCGCCAGTCTGTCATTTATCCGTCCGCAATTAGCTCCGAGCGGCTGACTGAGGCCAGCCGTGTCCACACAGAGCCGTTTACAGGAGGATTTCCACAGCTTGGACGCCACAAACCCCCCCCCCAGAAAGACTCCGGGCCGGATGGAAATGTGTCTAATTGTGTCCAAACCTCTTGTGCTGACCGTCCCTCCACCACCCACGGACTGTTTCTCAGCGGATTCGGGACTTCTTCCTCATCTCTGAGGCACACGACCACTGCTCTCCGGTGGCTGTCGTGTGTTTTGTTTTTGATTAGAGGGTTCTGAGGAACTACTGGGGGAAAACAAGCTCATGCTAAAACAACCACTGACATAATGACAATCCTCATTCTGGAAGATTTTCTTCACCATCAGGGCCCAAACCTGTGTCTGAATGTACATGATGGGCACTAATTCACACACTAATTTGATTTTGTATTAAAGTTTCCTGTTGTATTTAAGCACAGAGCCTCTTAGGTGGCTTCACATTTAAAGCAGAAAAAAGGCTTCAGATGGAAACAGTATATGTTATCCAGCTGTATTCAAGCAGAATGGGTTGATAAATTATCCAGAATGCTCTTAATCATCCTCTATAAAGCATTATTAAAAAAAATCTCAGTATGCAGCATCTCTCACTGGAGCAGAAACCTCGACTTCACAGTCTGTTTATTGGCACAAAATGGAGGAATTTGCTGCTTTTCGGCACCTTGTCGGCAGAGACGTGAGCCGAATGAAGCCCGTAAAGCTCAGACAAAGCTTTGGGCTGACAGTCGAACGTCTCCGGCGTGTTCTGACAGCTGGACGTGGAAAACATCCGCCTGAATCGGGATGGGGGGGGGGGGTTTCGGCACCATTCCTAAAAGAGCCATTCAGACTCCGTCCCTCTGTACTCC